CCCCAAAACCCCAAAACCCCAAAACCCCAAAACCCCAAAACCCCGGATTTTATTAACTAAATTGCAATTTAATTAATAATTTTACAAGCTATTGTTCTTCTTCGTTTCTCCTTTTAATATATATTCATACCAGTTTTTGTTGAGAAGGGTTGAGTTCTTCAAGGCAGCTCTCGAAAGCATCACCAACAGCGAAGTATAGCTCAACTAGTCAGAAAACCACACTCTTCCTAACATTCGCATGCGGGTGGTTGAATGTTGTGACTAGAGGATCTGTTATATCCTTCAGGATATGGATCAGCTCATCCTCATTTCATTTAGAGATTATATACTTCTCAGTCTTAATCAATGCTTGTAATACTGGAGGCTCTTCCTTCTCTATCAGATTCGAGATGATCAGCAGCAGCTCAGCTGCATTATGCGAGCTGTCGCTCGCATCTAGGAGGTCATCAATAATCTGATAGATAGTCTCCTCGTCACTGTAGTGATCGATCAAGATATGGACGTAGTAAGGTTTACTTTTTGGAGTGACCTTTTGCATATTTTGCTTAGAATGAATTCCCGTAGAGATTCGTTTATAGTAGCTTACACAATCAATACACTGATCATTGTCGAGTTCTTCTTCGTAATCATTTTCATCAGATTCTTTATGGTCTAAACCCTGGCTGGATGATTCCTTCAGAGAAGACATACGTACTGCTGGTTCTTTATTAGACTGGATTTTGTCATAGTCATGGAAATAAGGAGTTGTCTTAGGCATCTCATGTTGATAACTAAGAGCTTTTCCAGCTAAAGGAGCTTTCTCAATATCTTCTGATTTGAACTTGTTCATTTTTAAATCTCTTTTAGGGTAGTTAGTACTTGGGTTACTATACATTTGTGTCTGGTCACTAGCAGTGGTGTTTAAATCTGATGATAAATCAGGAGCATACGAGTCTGACATATCTTTCACAATCTCAAACTGCTGGCTCGGTAAATTAATTATTGCCTTGATCGTCCTGCTCATCTCGATGTCCCTCAAGGCCAGCAAGCTCCCAAGCGCAGGCATCGTAATTGTCCGGTCGCTCGAAAACTCATAGAACATCTTGCCGATCCGCTTGACGAGCTTCTTAATGTTGAGTTTGTCTTTGAAGTAAGAGTCTGTCGCCTTGATCAGCTGGGTGGACAGGACCTCCAGAGCCACCCCGATCACCACAGACGCTTGCTTGGAGTCGAGGATATCACAGAAGTAGTCGAGGAGCTTGTCTCCTCCATACCTCTGGATCAGCAGGTTCAGCAGGATGTTTCCACTGCTGTTGACTTTGGCTTTCTTGTCGCTCAGGTTAATCAGCAGAGGCGGAATCACTTCACTCAAGTAGGGCTCCATGGTTTCACCGAAGTTCTGGATCAGTTTACCGAAGTTCTTGTGGACTGCTAAGATGATCTTGAAGTGAGAGTCATCGAGGTGTTTGAAATGCAAGTTGACAATGTCTCAGAACATTGTGACATCAGGCAGGAACTGGGCTTTGTTGCCTAGATAGTTTCCTAGCTGTTCGAAAGCGTTGATCCTGTCAATCCAGCTGCTTCCATCAGCTTTGTGTATGAGTTCTTTGATTTCTTCTCTCGAAGACTTGCTCGATGGCCCATATCCCTGGTACGGCTTAGGGTACAACGACGCTTCTTTGTTGTCTTCTGGGTCAATTTCAATTTCAGAAATATCCTGACACTTTTCATCAAGCTCGTGAAGATCAGGGTCATTGTCAACTTCCTTCTTGGCTTCGTAAACGCCGTTATTGTACGCAGACGACAAGTTCGACGACTTGTACTGTCCGATGACGTCTTTGCTGACGCTGCGCTTCTTGGCACTGAACCTGTTCACGTAAGTCTTGGAGTCTCGCTCTCTGATCGAGTGGTTATTTCCTGTAGTTCCTAAACCCAGTTGACACCGAAGCAGCATGGTCAGTGGGCTTCGGAATGCTGGGCTTGTCTCTTTCTTCTGACAAGAACTTGTTCTGCGACTGGATCCTGTTCTGTGATTTGGTGATGGCTTGTTCTCTGCGTCCAATTCCTGATGATGGCGACAAGTGGTTGCGCTTAGCTGGAGCTTTGTAAGTTTTTCTGTCTTTCTGTCTTCCAACGTGTCCAATTCCTGCAGAGCTGCCTGTGCCACCGAGAAGCGGGCCAAGCTTAGAAATCATTTCTTTGTGTTTCATGAGCACAACCTTGTGTTCTTGGACGACGGCCTCAGTTTCTTCTGGCCATATTTCGTAGAATGTGAGGAGAGACTGCCTTGCGTAATGTCTGCAGTCAGGAGAGGCATCTTCTAAGCAGTGTCTGAAGTACTCTTCGAAGGTTTGGGGGGCGCTGCTGCCTCCGAATTTGGAGTCTTTGGCAAGTCTGTTTTTAGAATGAGCTCCTCTGCGCTTGTGCGAGTCGCCATATTTATTTTTGACTTTGAGGGAAGAAGAGTCTTGAGTCCCGAGGAACTTCTCAAGAACATACTCTGGCCAAGACTGAAGAATAATATGAATATACATGGATCACTTTGATCTTAAACTATTACTTTTGTTATTGAGTGAGGCAAATACATTCTCAATTATTCTTGGATCATGACAGTAATTGATGAGAGACAAACATCACAAATTTCCATGATCAGCTATGATTTTAGTTGCACACGAAACAAGTTTAAATAAACCATTTGAATCCATCAGCTTTGAAGCAACATTATTGAAGTCATTTTCAAGTGATTGAGCCATAATTCTGACTGTCCGAGAAGCTTCTTTCGTTACTGCTGATCTGAGATCCATTAATTGTGCGATTAATGGTCTTGCAAGCTTCTCTATTAGCCTATGGAAAGCTTCCATCCCTACGCATCCTTCGGAGAGGACGATGCCTTGTAAATTTTCCATGGACTTGACTCTTTCCTTCCAATCAACTGTCGTAGTATCTTTGAGTATCTTAGAGATTTGTATGACTTCCTTCTCAAGATCTTTCTCTGTCTTGATTTTAGAAATTTTAATCTTATCGGTGTCTACTGGCTCATACTCCTCCATTACTAATTATTTATACAACAATTTTCTCAATATATTTGTTTTTTATAGGGGTTTTGGGGTTTTGGGGTTTTGGGGTTTTGGGGTTTTGGGG